TCTTTATAACAAAATTTTTTAAAGTAAAAAACTAATGAAATTCTATGCAGCAAATTCAACCAGATGTAAATGACTCATTGCTTCTGAAGCACTGTGGTAGGCATTTTTACATTTTTATTCCTTTTTGAAACTTTCCCTAGAAACTGGGCATGGTGATGCATCCCTGTAATTCCAGCACTTGGGAGGCTGAAAACAGGAGGATCACTACGAGTCTGATCCATGTAGTGAGACCCTGCACTAAATATATTTTTAAAAATTTTTTAAAATCTTTTCCTAGCCAAGTTTTGTACTACACACCTGCATGCATTCCCAGCATTCTGGGAAGCTGAGGCAGAAGGATCAAAAGTTCAAGCCTCTCCTGAACAACTTAGTGATTTAGTGAGACCCTACCTCAAAATACAAAATACTTAGTGATTTAGTGAGACCCTCACAACCACCTTGTTTTATTACGAAAACCAAGACCCAAAATGGCATACTTAGCAAATGGTGGTGCCATATTCCAATTGAGAACTCACTTATTTACAAACCCATTCATTTCTTCAAACCAGATCAAGAGAAAACCCTTGATTTCATACAGGCAGTTTTGCAAAGGCATGTTGTGGATAATACACCTAATCTTGAGATCATTCATTTAATCCTTATATTCTGTCCAGCCCCCCAATCCGAGTTCTGTCCCATGCTGTGGAGCTCTGTACCATTAGTTGAAACAACATTATAGGTGAAGTGCTGAAATCAACAAAGTCCCAGAAGATTAGGATTTCAACTAAAAGTTCCCAAGTATTACAGCAGAGATTAGTCCTATTGCTCAGTTCCCACATGGAGTCACTATTTATGGGGTTAAACATCCTGTTGAGCTATATCTCATCTATCCATTTTCTGCTGACCAAAACTATGGAAGGGAAAGTAACAAAGTAGCAGGAAGAACATGGCTTTAGGGCAGTGATGGTAATTTCAGAGCTTTCAACAATACAAACAGCTTGCTGGGCCACCCATGCCACGTGCCACGGGCTCACCACCACTCCCTTAGAGTTGGACCCGAATAGTAATCCTAAATCTGGGTTCCTGTAATGGCTGCTTCCCAGAAGGCCCTGTCACATGTAATCTCTTAGCTTCAGCATCTGGAGATCCAGAAAGGGAGAATTTCAAGTCAGATACAATTTTACATACATCATTTCTGTGGAACCTCCCGCCTTTAAGACCCCGACATCATCACCTCAGTTTCAACACAGTTGTTCTTAGTCCTCATTTCTCTACTTCGGGCTCCATCTGTTGAGGCAGTAGAAGCTGGAATGCAATTGCTCTCTTGTTAGGTGTGGTTCTCGGCATTACCGCCCTCTGTGCTTGCTTAAGGGTATACGCACGGAAGAAAAATGGACAGGTGTGACTTCTAAGGGCCTGCTCAATCGAACTTCACTCTGAAAACCTTTGTACTATTGAGACCCTACCTGACTTTGGTTTCTAAAAATTACCAAGAAACATACATAGAGGGTCTCACATTCTTAGTTGTTTCCCAGAGAAGGGAAGCAAATCAGCATTTGTTAAGTGGGAAAAATGTTTCCTTTCTAACAAATACACTGAAAAATGCAGCCAATAGTTTATTACTTAGAAAACAGGTCAAAATGTAAAGATAGCTTTAAAACGGATAAGTCATAGTTCATAGTTTCAGAATCCTCAGAATACATGCAGTAGAAATAAGGAAGCTCTTGCCCAGAATTTCCCAAATGACCAGTGTTTAGTTCCATTCACTGCCTCCCGAATGGTTGGGGAATCTTTCCTCCATGTTTTCAGATTTTTATTTTGTTGTGCAAGTTAATATTGTACTTAGATATCAAATAACCAAACACTGAAATTTTTATCTTTTGGGGAGAAAGTTTAAGAAAAAATATATTCAATATAGCTGATATTAGAATGAAGAAAATAAAAAGATTTAAATTTTTTTACAAAACCTTTATATTGACATTGAAATGGAAAAAATACTGTAATTAAAAAACCTTTAATATTGAATGAAATCTCCATGGCGATAAGTACAGTACTATATTAAATATAAACATAGGGGCCAGGGAGATGGCTCAGTAGAATAAGTGCTTCCCGGGCAAGTGCAAGGGCCTGAGTTCAATCCTCAGTGCTGGGAGGAAAAAAATAAATAAAAAAAAAAA